TTGCTGCGCCCGGGCTTTTCTCTGGTTGTGACGAGCGGGGGCTACTCTTTGTTGCGGTGCACAGGCTTCTCATTGCGGTGGGTTCTCTTGTTGTGGAGCACAGGCTCTAGGCACATGGGCTTCAGTAGTTGTGGCATGCAGGCTCAGTAGTTGCGGCTCACGGGCTAGAGCACAGGCTCAGTAGTTATGGCGCATGGGTTTAGTTGCTCTGCGGCATGTGGGATCTTCCCGGACCAGAGATCGAACCTGTGTCCCCTGCATTGGCAGGCGGATTCTTAACCACTGTGCCACCAGGGAAGCCCTCAGCCTGCCTTTTGTCTGTGAAAAAACTTTAGCCAAACAATACGTTTAATCAGAGAAGTGAGAAAATGCAGAAACAGAGGAAAACAGTCAAACAAGACCAAATAAGAATAGATTAGTCATTAAGCAAAGTGAAGGACATTTTGTTCCTCTTCAAGGGCTATAGATAATATTCTGAGCCATATCCTTTGAGCTATCTGATAGACACTGAAACCCCCACCAGGTGGAAGAAGTTAACTACATGATGACCAGACTGCAGCCATGACATAAGCTGCCACAATTCTGAGAGCTGCCCTCAAAGAAATGGGAAAAATCAACCCCAGAACTAAAAACAATCAAGATGATGCTGATCAGACCACGGCACGAATAATTTCAAGAAGACTGTCAGAGCTGACTGTGCTGTTTCTACATGTAGCCCCCTCCCTCCGTCTATAAAAGCTCTTGCCCACTGATTGCCAGTGGGGAGAGTCGGCCTTTGTACAGAAGTCTGCCCCTGCCCACACCCCAACCATTGCTGGCCTCCGATATAAAGCAAACTTTCCTTTCCACCAACCTTGCCTCTTTATTGGCTTCAGAGTGGTGAGCAACCAGACCCCCACTTTCAGTAACACTTCTATTTCCTTATCTGTATGGTGGGAAGGGTAATTGCTGTACTCACTTTGTGTGAGGATTATATGAGTAAATACATATAAGATCCTTAGAACAAATAGTGCAGGGCACACAGTCAGTGCTGTATAGTTAAGTGTTTGCAATTGTTAAAATTTATGTGTTGAGTCTTCTGGGTGCAAGATGCTCTACTAATACTAGGAAGTACAAAAGATCTTCTGGTAGCATTCCTTCCACCATCTTTATTAGCATGTGCTTCTAAATCCTTTCCACCCCAGCACTTCTTCACACGCCCATTTTTTGCTCTCCTTTTAAGGAAATAATACACCTCTTCTTATAGGTATGCATTTTCTGTTAGGTATTATATCTAGCTGTTCATTAAACCAGGAAGTATATGTAACTTTGGGAAAACATTGACTTGGAGTGGAAACATCATCTAAGGCAAAAGTGCTTGGATAATGAAGAACCTGATTAACTTTGCCCAGAAGGGAGTAAAATATTTATCTGCCATTTTCCAACAGCAATATCTTCAGATGCTCTGAGGGTCTTTAATTACTATTTCCAATTGTTAAAACTATCAAAAGTACACATAAAAACAGCCATTTAGACTCTAATATAAACAGATCAGCCATGATGCAGCATTTTAAAAAAATTGAGGTATTTTAATTGAACATACCATTTGAAAATAACAAAAAAATGTTCACAATGTAGTCAAAAAAGAGTCATTCATCAGTTCTTTGAATTTATAAACTGGGGTTGAAAGTCCAGCACTGTTTGCAGGCCTAGTGTTCTAGTTGTGGGTCTGTGGGCCCATCAATTACCTTCTTTTTCTTTAGTGGTAAAGAATCAGAAAGGTAAAATTACCATGTTTCTACTTTGCAGAAATACTATGAGGTTAAGTTAAAGAATCCTTTTGAAACTCTCTGAGACCTCAAGTGTCAATAACTTTCAAAATAAAACTAATATTTGAGTTAGTAATTAAAAATGTGCTCTGTGAGCTATATACTTAAGACCTACATCTGCTAAAGGGAGAATCAAGAAAATCATTTTAACTTTAAGTAAAAATTGATACCTTTTAAAAGTTCAAAAATAGAAATTTTGACTGCTCGTAATTCTAAACTAGTAGCTAAAAAGACGTTTGGGCATCTAAATGAACTACAAGGAATGGCTGCATTTTAAAAGATTTTCATGTTATCAAGAAGCCGTAAAAAGAAACACCAACATAAAATCTTCTCCTCTCTCTCCATTTGCCTGGATTAGTTTTAAGGTACAATATTTAAAAAATTAGATATATGCATTAGGAAATTTCACTGACGTTTACTATCCCTGAACATTCCTTACTTCTTAAAAAGAGTTTCAATGGGGTTAATTTCTAAATTAATTCAGGCATTTGAGGGCAGTTGGGCCTTCTGTGCTTGAATAATTAAGTGACTACTATTAAAGGAAAGGCTACACATTAGTAACTTGGAGGAACCAGAGCGGATGAAACACTTTTCAGAACCTGCATGACAATTTTGAAAATTAAAGCCAGTTAATAGAAAAAAATGCTAAATCAATGGCCATAAAACTCAATGGGTTTATAGCAGCCTTAACACAGTAGGACTGAATTATCATGTTAATTTAATTTCCATTTCTAAATGAACCAGAAGGCACAATAAAGGTCAATTAACCAGCTACCTTCCCTGTCTTCTTTTTCTTTTACTGCCGGTTTTAAATCACATTCAGCCCCAAAGCACTCACACTGCTCCTGGAAACTCATTAGTTTTTCTTGAAATTAAAACAAAAAAGAAAAAAAAGAAGAAACAAAAACTAACAGCTAACCATGTGCTGAGAACAACCACTGAGAATGTGCTACAATTATGGGGATATATGTGTTCAATGAAAAATCTCTTACTCTTGTCAGATCAAAGCTACAAACTTAGTTACATCAAGCCTAGGGAAACACACAAGTTAAAGGTCTCGATGATAGTGTTTACCAAGTGTTCATCTACAGTGAAAAAGCTGTGTGTGCTACTCCTAACATTTATGAGGCGAATAAGGAAGGGAACTCCCATCTGTGCAATGTGGGTCTATTGTTAGTTCAGTGAGAGCCACAAGCTTTGCGCAGCCTGCATTTTTCACATCGAAATGTGTCACTATATATTAATTGGCTTTTATAACTTCAAAAAACTAATAGAAAGGGAAAAAAGAAGTCAGTTTCCTCCCCCTCACCAGGAAGAAAATTCAGTCCTTGTTTTTGGTGCAGTTAATTTATTGTTGCAATGGATTGCCTGTAATTTGATATGTTTATCAAAATCTTCAAATATTCTGGTGCTTTTTAGTGATATAAAGGGCACTAGGTTTGTGAACAAAATATATTTTTATTTTGCAATATTTATAATCATTAAAATTAGTTTCTAATTCCAATGTTTGCTATAATTTGAAAACTGATATGGAGATATTGCAAATGATCATAACTTTGATTTCAATAGGAACCTCTTTAAAAGAAAGTAAATAATGGTTCTAAAGTATCTAACACTAGGTATCAGGTAGCTGTCAATAAATGTTAACCTTCGTCCCCTCTCTCCTCTCCAAAAATGGGCGGAAGACCTGGGTGGACATTTCTCCAAAGAAGATATACAGACTGCCAACAAACACATGAAAGAATGCTCAACATCATTAATCATTAGAGAAATGCAAATCAAAACTACAATGAGATATCATCTCACACCAGTCAGAATGGCCATCATCAAAAAATCTAGAAACAATAAATGCTGGAGAGGGTGTGGAGAAAAGGGAACCCTCTTGCACTGCTGGTGGGAATGTGAATTGGTTCAGCCACTATGGAGAACAGTATGGAGGTTCCTTAAAAAACTACAAATAGAACTACCATATGACCCAGCAATCCCACTACTGGGCATATACCCTGAGGAAACCAAAATTCAAAAAGAGTCATGTACCAAAATGTTCATTGCAGCTCTATTTACAATAGCCCGGAGATGGAAACAACCTAAGTGCCCATCATCGGATGAATGGATAAAGAAGATGTGGCACATATATACAATGGAATATTACTCAGCCATAAAAAGAAACGAAATTGAGCTATTTGTAATGAGGTGGATAGACCTAGAGTCTGTCATACAGAGTGAAGTAAGTCAGAAAGAAAAAGACAAATACCGTATGCTAACACATATATATGGAATTTAAGAAAAAAATGTCATGAAGAACCTAGGGGTAAAGCAGGAATAAAGACGCAGACCTCTTAGAGAACGGACTTGAGGTTATGGGGAGGGGGAAGGGTGAGCTGTGACAGGGCGAGAGAGAGTCATGGGCATATACACACTAACAAACGCAGTAAGGTAGATAGCTAGTGGGAAGTAGCCGCATGGCACAGGGATATTGGCTCGGTGCTTTGTGACAGCCTGGAGGGGTGGGATGGGGAGGGTGGGAGGGAGGGAGACGCAACAGGGAAGACATATGGGAACATGTGTTTGTGTATGACTGATTCACTTTGTTGTGGAGCAGAAACTAACACACCATTGTGAAGCAATTATACCCCAATAAAGATGTTAAAAAAAAAAAAAATGAAATCTCCATTATTTAAAATTTATTTGGAATTATTTCTTAGGATTACAGAACTTTAAGAGAACAATGGTCTCAGTACCTTTGCTTATCAAGTTCTTATAACAAATATCCATGGAAATAATCAATAAACAATTTATAATTGGAATAGAAAATAATTTTATTCAAATCAAACTGAGAACTATAGCCTGGGAGACAGATTCAAGAAGCACTTGAATTGTGTTCCACTAGACTACAAAATGGAGGAGGCTTGTATAGGCAAAAAGTACAAAATTACATAAGTTCTTTGTCAGGAATTAGAATTGGAGCTGGCAAGAAGTGAGGGTGCTTGTTAAGCAAGGATTGATTGGGGTCCAAAATGTTTGCATAGTTATAAGGTTGCAGTGGCATCTGCCAGCAGATATTTTTTTGAAAATGGCTGGTAGTGACCTTGAGTTTGATACAGTTCAGAAAATTCAAGTTCTCGGTGATGAAGGAATGTGTCTGAAACCATATCCACAGTGGCCACTTGGCTCCATTTTGGATGCCTGAGTGACTTGTCAGAACAAAGAACAAACATCAAACCTGACAGGGGTACATTCCTCCAAGGTTTCAAAAGAGGCAGATTAGCATGTACACAGTGAGTCCGCATGACCCTGGTGTCTGAGAAGGAAACCTCGTCTTTGAAGGAGGACTAGCATTGGTGCCATAGGAGGAGGGGGACATTTATCATTATCTTCAAAGTGGACATTCTAAACAATCTGGTAAATGCATTCTCTCTTTAATGATTAAAGCAGATGTATAATGTATGTTAGACAAGTCGTAAGACAGGCTGTTCTAGTTAGCATAATGTTCAAGCCAAATCTTATATGAGCCAGAATGATTTCCCCACACCGCACTATGTGAAAATTTCTTCCATCACAAAGATGTGTGAGTGTAATTTAGATCTGAAGTCTAAGGGTTTTACTACATGGCTAATATCTATATATTTTTTCAAATGAAAACATTTAGTTCACCTTTCATTTAATAAAAATCTGCCCCTTTGCCTCTCCTTCACACCTAAGATTATCTATCTATCCCTATCTTCTCTCTCTCTCTCTGTATCATTTCTGGAAGCCATAAGTAGGATTTAATGACCTCATGACAGTTTCTGTGAAAAATATATTGTGTGCAGAAATATTAATGTAGAAGTATATATTCACAATGCACAGATTTGACAAATAAATATATAGTCTAGATGTGATTGGTTTTGAGAGACATCGTTTTTCTCTGAAAACTTTTGTAGGCTAGTGACAGAATCTAACCTTTCTTTGAACTGCAACCTATTTAATCCACTTTAAAAAAATTATGTAATAGCATAGAAAAAAAATGAAATTTTGTGACTGAAATTCTTTAAACATCAAATACATTTAAATGATTTTGTTAATTTCATGTGTATAATAAGTAATGCTTTTATGAGATGGAGGAATTTGTGCTGTTTTACTCCTGGTCTTTCTTCAGATTGACATTGGGGTTGCATGCATAAAGCACCCACTTTGTCACCTGTGCAAAGGAGCTCTTCAGTGAATTCTCTCTCTTCCCCTCCCCTCTCTCCCTTTACCTCTCCTCTCTGCCCCTTCAGAGCTCTCTGTGAGCTCGAGTGCCACCTCCACCTCGGAGCAAGTGCAAGCCCAGTGCCCACTGTGGCCTCTTGCCACTGTTGTTTTCTACAATTGATTAGGACATTCTACTATGGTGGATTCTCAAAAATTATTGCTGATTAACTGAACAATATCATATCATATGATGTCATGATCCTGCCCTCCCCTACCTTTTTTTGAGACTGAAGAGGTCTTTTAAACATTAGGCCATGGTGTCACGAATTATATCACTGAACTGTTGATATGAGTTAGTTGTTGGAGTCACTGAAGTCCCTGGACTGAGACTGACCATGTGCAGACAGGGAGCCTAGAGGAGCAGTTTAGGTACCTGGTAGGATAAGAGGAGAAGAAAGAAGAAAAATGGTAGCAGAGGAAGAGGGTAAGAAGAGAATAGGAGGAACCTGGGGCAAGGCATGCCCTTCATGACCACATTCATGGGGCAGAGGTCCCCCTTCCCAGCTGTGCCTGCACACACCACACACACACACACACGCACACACACACACACACCCTGCTCATGGACCCCTGCCAGCATTAGTGCTGGTACTTACTTGCTACGCCATGATCAGGTCCAAAGATTATTGAGTTTGGAACTTTCTGTCTTGAAGGTTTTAAGGAACTTTCTTCCAGATGAGAGGCTGACTGGTACCTCTCTCTACCCCATATTTCATAACCATGTCACCTAGGAGTTGTCTTATTAGAATCTATGTATGTTTTTTACAGCTCTTCTGCCATCTGGCTGTGTGGTCTGGAAGTCACTTTTCTTTTCTGGGCCCGGTTTCCTCAGTGGTGAAAGGAGTTTGCCCTTTGATCTTGAAGGAACTTCTGGTTCCAACACTCTGTGTTTCTCTGAGGTCCCATTTCAAGCATGGTGTAAGAATGTAAGGCAGGATCAAAATGTCCCAGCTGGTCCCTTTCCCTTCAGTTTACCTGTCTTGAACACGTTAATTAATGCAATGAACTGATTTTTCCTAAGAACATTGTGTGTGTGTATGCATACATATACATGTAAACATATAAATACATACACATATATATGTACATGCAAATGTGTAGATATATATTCTACAATAGTTTGAAATTTTAGTAATGGTGTTAAGTGGCTTAGAGGAAGAATTTTGATGTTGTCTAAATAAAAAGAGACAATAAAAGGAGAAAAAAGTCTGTTTTTTGACCTCTAAAATTTTTGGACTGTCAGTTACATTCTTATTATTGAGATGGGTCTAGTGTATGTATAGATGTGTGTTTGTTTTTAGTTTTAGCCTGTTAGGAAAACTGGAGAAAAATGGTGCTCATTACTCACTAGGAAACATCTGTCCATTTTTGTACTACAGTATACATATTTTTAGAGGCAATATTTTATATTACACTTAGACTTCACCAAACGAACCCAAGACACTGGGAGATGGAGTCTGATGCCTTGTATGAAATGGGCTGGGTGGCTGACTGTCAAAGGAAAACACAAGTTTGGTACATAGCAGGATTTACGTTATCTTATTAAAAATGTGTTTGCCAAGAATGTAGATCGGAAGGGAAATTCTTGGAATTGTTACTTTTTTTTTTTTTTTACCTTTGGAAGGAATGAATAGATATGTGGTATTAATACAGCTTGGGTGTCCTTCCTTCCCATTGCAGAGCTGCTGTCAGGAGAAGACAGCAGCGACTAAGAAAAACAGGCCAGGCCGGCCAGCAGCAGAAGGGCCCTTCCTCACAGGGAGCAGAGCCATTTAGCTCCCTCTGAGCTCCCTCCTGCCCATGAGCAGCCAGAGAGGGGAGGGACACAGGTGACAACTCTGGGCCTAATGGCCCTCTCTCTGTTTTTATTTCTCAGCTGGGGGTTGAATGTTCTCATTTTATGGTCACTTGTCCTTTTCAGCTCTGAGGAAAGAGAGGTTTCTCCCTCCCCCAACTCTATTATATATATTTCTTGTTTTTTTGTTCCATAAAGAAAAGTAAAGCAAAACACTAAGATTATTTCTCTAAGGAGTTTCTTACATTCAGAAAACCATGCACGGATGGAGCTGAGTGCTGTATGAAGGGGTGCAGACCACTCCACTCCTGCCCAGAGTTTGGAGAGGCTGCCTAGGATGCCTGCAGCCTGGGCGTGAGGGAGGTACGAAGACGGCTCAGGTAGGTACAGAAAGATGAGTGTGATGTGCCCGAGAAACAAGTAAATAATCCTGAAACCCTCAGATACCTCCCCGGATGTCCATTGTAATCAATGAAAGAGTAGCTGGTGGACACCCCCATTCTTTTCTCCACTCACTCATCTGCCCAAGGATCTACTGAATCAATATGCACTGATGAAATAACCCCATTTTTCAGGTTAGAAAACTGAGACTGTAACGGGCTTGCTCAAGATTGCAAGCTTGTAAGTGACAGAGCTAGTCAGTGTCACAGCCAGATTTGAACTGGGAATTGTCTTACTCTGGAACTTCCCATGAAGAGGTCATTACACTAGAAAGTGATAAATGCAAGGATGAGGCATGCCTGGGGACTGAGGAGTCAGAGAAGAGGGATTTGATCCAGGTTTTGGGGGTCAAGAAAGGTATTTTGGGCCTAGTGGTTCTTGAGTTTAACATTAAACTATGGAACTGAAAAAGCAGGTTGAGGTACTGTTGGAGATTCTAGGCAGAAAGAATAATTTGTGAGAACAAGTGTGTGTGAGGAATTACAAGTGCTTTGGTGTTTCTGAAACATCAAGGCAAGGAGGGGTGGGAGATGAGCCTGGAGAGGTGAGGTGGGGCCAGATCATGGAAAATCTTTTAGTCTACAATGTAGACGATGCCAAATGATGAGTTTGGATCTTTGCAGGACATGGCAGGTGCAGTAGGGTGGGAAGGAGGGAAGAGAGGGGAGACCTGATGACTAATTTGGTGGATAGAAGAAATGAGAGGGATGGAGAAGCTATAGGATGTCTCTCTGGCTTCTATCTTGGTGGCTGGGTGGATGAGAATGCCAACGATTGATACAGAGGATTCAGGAGGAGAACACGGTTCAGAAGAAGGGTGCTGAGCAGTTTTATTCTTCACCAGTCTATAGTTATAACCACATTTTATTATTAACTTTTTTATAGCAAAATTTTATTATTAACTTTTTTTATTAACTTTTTTATATGCATTAACTTTTTTAATGCATAGATTTCATACTTAGTATGATTTATAGTTATTAACTGTTATAATTTCATAAATAAGAAACATCTTTCTTACCTAAGCAAAATTAAATAATTTGCTACTATCTCAAAAAATAAAAGTTAAGTCAGCCATAACTTTATGGATACTAATCATAATAACAAATACTACACATGGTTCAGGTATTAGTCTATGAACTTTACCTACATCAATTCCATTTATCTTGCCTCTGGGGATTTTAGTTTGAAACCTAAGTGGCACCACCCTGGCATTCATTCATGTTCTGTTGTGGATGGAGGGCTAGTGGTGTGGATCTGCCAGCGGTGAGTTTGAACGTGGCACAATCTCCATGGCCCAGTGACTGAAACAGGAAGATATCTTTGTGAAAATAAATCAGAGGAAGCTGTTTCACTCCAAGCAGCATAAGATGGAATGTGAACTTTCTTCTTACGGTCTAGGTTTGTATTCCAGTAATGCAATTAGAAGCTGTGTGACTCATGAATGTTCATAGCAGCATTATTCATAATAGCCCAAACTGGGAACAGCCTAAATGTCCATCAACTAATGAAGAGATAGACAGAATTGGTAGATGCTCTATTGAATACTACTCAGCAATAAAAAGGAAGAAACTACTGACACCTGCTTGCTACTTCATGGCTGAACCACAAACACATTGTGCTAAGTGATGGAAGCCAAACACAAACAACTACATATTGCTTGATTCCATTTCTACAAAATGCCCAGAAAATGTAAGTTAATACAAAAAGAAAGTAGTTTAGTGGTTGCTTGAGGCTAGGGGTGGGATGGATTAACTGTAAATGAACATGAGGGATCTAATGGGGATAAACGTTTTCTTAGATTAATTTATGGTAATGGTAGCAACCATTTGGTAAAGTTGCTAAAAGTCTTTTAATTGTACACATGAAACGAATGAATTTTATAAAATGTAAAATATATTTCAATAAAGTTGTATTTTAAAAAAAGAAGCTGATTTGTATCAGCACACCTACAAAACAAAAACAGACTCACAGATGTAGAGAACAGACTTGTGGTTGTCAAGGTGGGGTGGGTAGGGGAGGGAAGGAATTGTAGTTCAGGAGTAACAGAGGCAAACTAGTATATATAGAGGGGATAAACAACAAGGTCCTAGTGTATAGTACAGGGAACTATATTCAATATCCTGTGACAAACCATAATGGAAAAGAATATGAGAAAGAATATATAGGTATAACTGAGTTACTTTGCTGTACAGAAGAAATTGACACAACATTGTAAATCAACTATACTTCAATGAAATAAAAAAAGAAACAAAAGAGGCTGTGTGAATTTCAGCCAAGTCATTGAACCTTTTTTTTTTTTCATTTCCCTTACCTGTAAAGTGGGGTGCTGAATTTTTAGACCTTATTTAATCTCCAGCAGCATTTAACTCAGTTTATTACTCACTGCTCTCCCCTACTTCCTGGCCCCCATTCATTTTTTGGAACTACTTTCTGCACTTGATTTCCCTGGCTTCTTGGAAAGTGCAGGGCTGGCTCAATTGTTTCACTCTGCAGTTAATTACCCAGCTCGATGCCTGTGGCATGCATTCTCACTCACCCATTGCTGCTTCTAATGTTCAGGTTATTTAGGGCTCTGCCCGAGATATTTTGGGACTTGTTTGGGATATTTCTCTGACACCTGAAAATCACTTCAGTCTCTTCATTTTATTGGGCAATTTTAGCAATCCTTTCTCACCAATTTATTCCAGAAAGTTTTCCTTGTTCAGTTTTGCTAGAGATACCTCTCCTGATATTCCAGATTCATTTGATTTCATTATAAGTCCATTTTTATATTTTGCCTGTTATTTCAATAGGATTTTGTGAGGAAGGATGTAGAGGATGCTGTGTGTGCTATCAAGATCCCATTCAGGACTGAAGGGCTTATTCCTCCAGCTGACCAAGGCTGGCGCCTTTCCTGGGAGAGCCTTCAACCGATGACTCATCAACTCAAGGCTCAACATTTTCAGCCAACTTGCTACAATTCAGAAGACCACCCAGCCTCAGAGCTTCCTGTGGGGTCAGCAGAGGCCTACATTGAGAATTCACCCAGCCCAGCTTCTCCCTCTGTCTATTTTATTCTTCCCTTCCCTTCCACAGATGTTGACCCCAAGAGTATTCCTTAATAAACCTTGTTCATGCTAACCTCGAAATCCAAGTCTGCTTCCCAGAGAGCCCAAACTGTGACAGAGGAGATGTGAATACATGTGTTTAGTCAGCCAGCTGGAAGGCTTTTTACAGTGCTTATTTTGAGATCATGGGCCTTTTAAAATAAGATAATTAAATGTATAAATTCTTTCAACCCAGAAGGTGAGGTTCACTTTCCTCTCCAATATGAACTCTCTCCTCTTGGCTTTTGATCAGAGACATCAGACTCAGTTGGGTTCCCAGCTTCTCCTTCACCCCACAGCTGGTGCTATATGACCTTTTCTTGTGAGCTCAGCCTCCCACTTCCCGGGGCCAAATGGCTCTCAGTGGAAAACTATTAACAGTTTATCTTAAGTCAGGTTTTCTTGAAGCAGATTGTACATGAGGGTCTGTGTGTAAGTGCTTTGTTAAGAAGGTGTCCCTGGAAGAAGGGAGAAGGAGAAGCAGGGCAGGGCAGGGAAGGAAGCCAAGCAAGGCTGGGATCTCAGGTAGAGTCCTTTGGAGGTGATGGAGGTGGCGTGATGGTTAACTTTATGTGGCAACTTCACTGGCCACAGTGGGCCCAGATTAAGCATTATTTCTGGGTGTACTTGTGAGGTTGTTTCTGGATGAGGTTAGCATTTGAATCGGTGGACTCAGTAAAGAATTTCCCCTCCCCAAGATCATGCAACTTGGGCATCACCCAATCCACTGAGGGCCTGAATGGAACAAAAGGCAGAAGGAGGAATTCATTCCTTTTTCCCTGCCTCACTGCTTGAGCTGGGACATCTCATCTCATCTGTTCTGCCCTGAGACTGGGATTTATACCACCATTTCCCCTGGTTCTCAGGCAGGCCTTCAGACTCAGACTGAATTACACCACTGGATTTCCTGGGTTTCCAACTTGTAGATGGCAGATTGTGGGGCTTCTTAGCCTTCATAATCAAATGATCCAAATTATCATTTTCTATCTATCATCTAGCTAGCTAGCTAGCTATCCTATTGGTTCTGTTTCTCTGGAGAATTCTGACTAATATGGGTAGCTTTGCCTGATCCACAAAAGAACTCTGGGATATACCTTATACCTCAGAATTTTCCTACCTGAGGCAGAAGAGTTGGGCTTTTGTACCCTTGCACCCACTATTCAGATTGATTGACAATGACTCCCTGTGGTGGAGCTGTGAGCTGAGGTATAAATGCCAGGCCCCCCTGGCTCTCTGCCCATGCAGGGAAAGCCACTCCAGTACCATGAGGGTTGTCATCTGAAGAACACACATGAGTGCTGGTCATTGGGAGCCAAAGCACACAGAATCTAGTGAAGGGACATTCAAAAATGGTGGGAAGGGTCTGAAGTGGTCTGGGTGGATCAATGACATTGTTTTCTGCATAGTTCTATCACCAACATCCTCGTCAGTCTGGCCTTGGTGCTAGGCTCCAATTTTGATAGTATTCTGTCTCTGGCATAGTAGAACTTGTAGAATATTTAATTTTGTGTGGGACTGTATTCCAGTGACTCTGTTTGGTTGAGTTAATTGCAAAATTCTCCATTAAATAATGAAATGAGTTAACCTTTTTATAGAGTTGCTTTGTATTTGCTATCAAAATGCTGAAGAGTGTTTGTGAAAAGCAGCAATCCTAGTGTTGGTCTAATTGATATTGAGCTGTTCCTCATGGTAGTAATTGCCCCAAAAGCTTAGTGGCTCCTTGAAGCCATTCTCAGAATGATAATAGGATTATGTTAGCAGCATAAAGGAAGAGGCTATGACAGGAGGTCATGTATCCAAGTTATCAAAAAATGTATCAAATGGTTTGGGTAAAAATTAAAGAGCAGGCAGGCTAGGACATTTGTGCTGTTTGGAGCTGAATCTGCTCTGTCAGGAGCCCATTTCCCATCCATTTTGATCCACCCTTTTTGATATTACAGTAAAGGCTCTGAAGGACCATTAAACACCCAGGAACAATATCAAGATCATGCAACCTGACCCAAAAAATGGCTGACAATAGAGTAATAAATGCCACAAGTCTCAAATTTTAACCATTTTCTCTAATAGAAGAAATAGAATGTAGTAATAATGCATAATAGATTAGAATGTAGTAATAGTACATGATAGAAAAGCTATCTCTAAGCATTTGTGCTCTTCCTATAGGATATTATATTGAGACATCCAGACATGCAGTGTGGAAGAGCAAGGTGGTGCTGATGTTTGAAAGGATATTCTGAAAATTCCTGGGTGGTAAGAAAAAAGAGAAGGCAGTCCTTATTTCCTCTAAGAGCAGACTATTCTTTTGGTCTATTTTATATAAATTATACTGTAAGTGATTAAGTCAATAATTTTGCATGGATTGGCACCTACAATGTAGAATAGAATTTGTGGTAGGAAAACTCTCTGATGCATATTTTGACATTAAGGCATTATTTGAATAAATAGGGACACTGGATTTGAGCTAGAGATTGTTCTAGGGCTCTTAAATTATGGGATAAGTGTAAGAGTTTTAAAAAATAAAGAAAGAGCCTCAATTACTGAGTTCCTTTAGTCACAGGAGCATGACCAAGCAGGTAGCTACAGAGATCTGTGTGCTGTGGGCTAGAGAAGGGTAACCCGACTAGGGAAAGGACCAGAGAGAGAGAAGTTTCTTAGAGAATGCTCAGGGTAAAAGGGTAAAATCAAGGAAACTAAAAGACAAGAACCAAGAACCAGACAGCTAAGAACTCTAGTATTATTACATCAACAGCTCAAAAAGAGAAAATCTTAGCAGATGCTAAGCATGCATTTTCACTCCTTCCTAATAACTAGCCTTAATTATGCTATAAATAGATGACCCTTCCTTAACATGATAAAGAATCTCCAAAACCAATAGCCAAATTATGCTTATAGGGGACACTTCTGAGGTTTTACCATCAAATTAAAAAAGTCAGAGAAAGCTATTTGCCACTAACTAACATTTGTCTGGAAGTTGTAGTCAACAAGGTCAAGAAAAAGAAAGGAAATATAAACATTGGCACTTGGATGATGTAGCAGCATGGAGGTCTGCTTGGATGACCCTCGAGAGAGAACTTGCTGTGCAGCTGCAAGAAAGGCAGTAAACTGACAATTCTCCAGCTCTTAGCAACTTCAGAGTCACCTCAGCTTCCCGGACAGCCCTCGGCCAATGACTGACCATATCTGCCCAATGGGGGATATTCCTTACCCTTGGAGCTACTAACTGGGTTGACTGAGACTTTGTCAGGTTTGCATCATAGTTAGCCCTTCATGCCCAATTTTCTTCCATCCCCCTTTATCACGTACACTTATCCCATATGCTTCTTGCACTCTTACCTCCATCTGGGTGTCTGCTTCCCAAAAGATCCAGCTGACACTGTTGGTTGCAGGAGTGGTGCAGGAAAGCAGGAGGTAAGATGTGTTTTGGGGATGGGATCCAATGAGACTTGGGGCACAGATGCTCTGGCACAAAATGGCAGTCCAATTGCTAAAACTAGCGGAGTTGCCTGGTTGTTACTAAGTTGCATTGATGACCTATAGAGGCATAATGAAAAGTTGAGGGCAGTTAAGAAACAATTGAATATTGCCAGAAAGCCTGTGGTTTGCAGAGTCCCTTATTGCCTGCAGTGAGGGAGCAGAACAAGCTGAAGACTAAACTCAGGATTTAATAGTGTTGCCAAGCTACTAAGACGATTGAATATAAATGAAAGTTCTATTATGCCAAGACCAGGATTCTGGTTGGGCAAACCTGGGACCCTGACACATCAGATGAGGACATCTGTAATGACACCCTCAAAGATTTGGGCTCTCCATATTCCATTGAGCCCTCAGAGTTGTGGAGGTGGCCCACTCCTTCCTATTAAGAGATAGCATTCTCCCCTGGTGGGAACACACTGTGATGTCTTTTTAGCAAGGCAGTAGGCCCCCCTCTCAGGATCTCCCCTTACCTCTTCTCATGACCACTGGGTTGATAACTAGGGTTAAGTTGTAGCAAAACCCAACTAGGGACATGCTGGGCCTGATAAGAGAGGAAAGGGAACTGTAAGAATTAGCCAGCATTAACTGGTAGGAGCTGGGCAGCTCCCAAGGGACTGGATTTGTGGTTGCTTGATCAAGAGGTCTGGGACATAAGACTGGATAAGAGTGAGTTTGTGAACTTGGGGACATTTTAGCAAAATGCAGGATTCAATACCCTGGCAAAGACCACAAAAGCCTGCTGAAAACAATGGCCCATGGTTGAAAAGTCTGCATTACTGTGACAAATGACGGAAGAAGGGAGGTAGGTCTTCTGGACTAGATAAATTATGCAAGGCCCGAAAACACAGCTGAGAAGTATATTTCACAGAAAAGGCCAGGAATTACACCAAGCCCAGAATAGAGAGACACCAACATCACCAGGAGGTTCAGTGGTGGCTGAGGGACTAAATATACAAATATTCACAACCACAACCTCTGCTGCAATTAGCCCAGAGTCAGGACTTAGCCAATAATCAGCAGCTTCGTTATTTTTTATTGATTCCAACTCAGGACCAACCACTGAAAGCCAAATATGCTCCCGAAAACAATCTCATAAGATGCCCTCCTAGTTAGCCTGCCTCCAGCTTCCTCGTGCAAACTACCCTGCAATCAGAACATACCTAAAATCTTCCCTTAATTTTCACTGTGAAGCTTTTCCACTCCCCTTGCCTGCCTTTGAGTCTCCATCAAACATGAGTGATGGTGGCTGACTCCTTTGCTGTAGAGAGCTCTGAATAAACAGCCTCTGTTTCTTATCATTCAGGTGGTCTTTGTCTATTTCCACATGGCTTTCTTCTGCAGACAAAAGCTGATGGTAGGAGAGGCTGTCACAGAGCTTGGCTCATTGATACTAATGAGGATTACAGACCTCCGAAGTTGTAGAGGCCAGGTGGCTACATTTAACTGCCAGAAGCCCGGGGTTGCAATTTTTGGGACAACTGCCAGGATTGAGTGGCAGCCAAGGAGGCTTAACCTACAGAGAATTGCAGAAGGATAGTTAACAGAATATAAATAACATTGTTAGGGGTAAAATAGAAGAAGAGTCAAAGATGGTATTGCTCAATACATATATTTAATCAAAGAAAACAATCATAAAAGAGCAGGAAACTGAGAGTGGTCACACCAATAGAAAGTCACAATCCCTTTTGCAGTTTTCAGACCTGAGCCAGTTTTCAGACCCAGAACCTAGTGCCTGAAGACGTGGCTGGGTTCCAGTGGGAAGGATGTGGTATCACCATGGCAAGTATACATGGTAATGATTCCTCCAGTCCCTCCACAGTGGGACCTATGGCTATTTATCTGAGTGATTGTACAATGGGGAAAGGGGAATATTAGGACATTTCAGCGATTGTTAGACATAAGATCTTACATTGATACTTGGAGACCTGAAGCATCATTATGGTCCCACTGTTAGATTTGTGATATAGGAAGAGCATGTAATAAATGGAATCCTGGCCAAAGTCCAGCTTGCCATGGATACACTGGGTCTGTGAACTCACTAGGTGGTCTTTTCCTCAGTTCCTGAATATAAAATGGGAATTGAAGAATTTGCAATTTTATCCTTAGCCTGTGGGGTAAGAGTTATGGTAGCATGGGGGGCAAAGAGGAAGTCTTTGAAACTGCCTAGCCAAGATACTAAACAAAAGGTAATATCATATTATAAGAGAGAGTGAAGATTAGTGCCGGGATCTTAAGGATCTTAAGGATGATCCCCATCATGTCACTATTTAATTTACCAGTCTGGCCCCTGCAGAAACTGGATGCATCTTGGAGAATGACCGTATACCGCTGTAGACTCAATCAAGTAGCAGCCTTGATTGCAGAGATTGTGGTAGAGGGGATCTGGTTTGCTAGAGTAGATTAACATGGCCTTGTTACACAATCTGCAGCTGTTGATTTCATAATGGGACTCTTTTCTTTCCCTATCAGGGAAGAGGTTAGAAAAGGTTTGCATTCACAAGGAGGGAAAAAAATATACATTTATAGTTTTGCTCTAGGACTATGTTAAGTCTTGGACCTCTGCCATAATACAGTCTGAAAATATCTAGATTGCTGGGACATAATGTAGAACATCAGCTGATTTATCACATTGTGGATAGCATGCTGCTCAGGCAGGATGTGCAAGAGTTAGCGCGCTGGAGACTTTGGTCCTCAGTCTACAAGGTGGAAGATAAATTCTACAAAGACTTTAGGACCTACCACTTGGGCAAAGTTTTCAGGGGTCTAGTGGTCCTAGGAGCATGCTGGGACATCTCCAAAATATAAGACAACTTGCCTCAACCTTCATCCATTATCACAAAGAGGTCAGCACAATCCCTACTAGGCTTATTCAGGTCCTGGAAGAACACATTCTACATGTAGGAATACTGCTCCAGCTCATATATCATGTGACCCCAAAGGCTGTCAGTTTTGAGAGAGGCTTGGAACAGGAAAAGGCTCTGCAGCAGGTTCAGTCTGTGGTGGAAGCAGCTCTGTCATTTGGGTCATATACTCCAACAGACCTAAGTGACCATGCATCAGGAACTGCTTACTATGAGTTGGGTTCTGTTGGACACAAGTCACAAAGTTGAGTACACCCAGACTGAGGACCAGACGGCATGAATAGTCGAGATACCCGCCATGCCCATATCACCCACAATGGTACGCCAGCACCTATGGCTCAGCTCATACCTGGCAGGAGGTTGAGATGGGGAGGGAGGTGCATACAACCAGTTGAAGGAAGAGGATAAACCTGAGGTTGGTTTATGGATGGGTTGACTTGGTACATGGTTGTAAGCCAGAAATGGATGGCAGATGCAATACAGCTGCAAGCAGGGTGGCCTTGAAAGCTAACGTTGAAGAAAAAGGTCTTCCCATGGTAGAGCTTTGCGCAGTGTACCTGGTCACCCACTTTACTAGCAAGAAGAAATGGTCCATTTATCTGGGCCATGTTGAATGTCCTGGAGGGTTTTGTCAAGGGCCTGGAAGGAAAAAAAGACTGAAAGATCAGAGATAAAGTCTGGGGTAGAGACAGGTGGATGGACATATGGAAGTTGGCATGAAGTGTGATATTTGTTATCACTTATTAATTTGTGCTTACTAGAAAGTACATACTATTCAATGGCACTAAAATGATCTAGTAGACAATGCAAGTCAGGCAGTTGACATTAGCCAGCCTATGTCTTTCCCATTTCAGAACTACACACTAAGCATATGAATGAAGAGGCCATAGAGGCAGAGGTGAAAGGTACTTATGGGTTTAACAGCATAGATTCCTACTTATGAAGGCAAATATTGCTATTGCCAACTCCGAGTGTCCAACCTGCCAGCAGCAGGTCTCAAGGCTGAGCCCTGACAGAACACTATTCCTCACAAGCAGCTGAGGCCACTAGCTACTTGGTGACAAGTTGACTACATTGGGCTCTTTTCATCCTGGAAGTGCCAATGATTTGCTCTAATAGGAATAAATACCTATTCTAAATGAGTTTACTTTTCCTGCCCACAAAACTTCAGCCAGCACCACTATCTGGATCCAGGCTTACCTGACCCATAGCATTTGTACAATGAAGGAAACGGGAGAGTGGGCTTATTATCATGGAATTCACTGGTGTCATCTCATGCTGCACCACTCAGAGGCTGTCAATCTAACAGAGTATTGAATTGACCTGTTGAAAGTACAGCTAACTGCAAGTATTGGGTCTCTTGATGAGAAATGTAAGGGAAGATCCTCAGGTTGATATTTTACAGTGGACTAGATTGTTGACGTTCTCAAGGGATATAACCTCATTATTACTCCCCTAGAAAATGAGTTCCCTTGTAAAATGTAATAAAGTATAACTCAAAATTAAATGATCTGTTCACATTCAGTGATAAGAGGACAACAAAGCCAAGCTCAGTGCCCTCATGTTCCTCATGCTCTTCTCTCTGCCACCTGATTCCTCACACCCTTCTCTCCTATTTTTGCTTTAGGTAAGGCTGTATTACAATGCATGCAGTTCAAATTAACATAAGAACAACATTACAAATGATGACATGCTTTGGAATTTTAGCATCACTTTGAAGTGCTCAAAACCATAAATGTTATATTTGCTAATGTTAAGGTTCTACTGAAATTCGTTGTGATTGCAAATTATTTTGATTAAATGCTGGCCTTTTCAATTACATAACTTTCTCTAGAATCTGAGATCTTCTAGCCCAGGTCTTCCACCCATTCCATGTGGAAGAATCATTTCCCATTCTTGCATTCAGGTCTCTTGCAATAGTATGTCCTTTAAAGGATAAAACAAATATGTGCAATGCAAATAATATCAAGTGGGACAATGTATTTCATACATATAGATGAATTTGATGGTGTAATATATGTATCTAAGGCAAGCTTGGTCTGTCTTGTTAGTGAGCAGAACCATATTGTGTGAGAAGAAGTCCCATCTCTAGTATTCATTTGGCTTTTAAAATTCTTAGAAACACATACTTACTTCTTAAATGATTGCCTTATTTTGGACCCAGCTGATGTGAGTTATTATGAATCCTGTATCCAAAGGAAACACTTCTCTTCACATATGTGGTTATTTGATTTGGAATAGATAGAATCAGGATCAGATGTTTTTTGAAGAGAATGATTATATTCTTAAAGGAATCTGGAAGAGTGTGATATTGCAAAGAGATTTAAAGACTATGTAAGGAAAATGATATATTAACTAGTTAAGTTCGTATTTTAAAAAGAGTAAAGAGGCTTACCTTACCTCTTATCTTTTTAAAAATATATTTAGTTCTTTATAGGTTCTATTGAACAGCCATAAAATATTTTTATTTATTATTCAATGCTAAGTATTTTAATTTGAGTTCTTAAAGACATTTAACCTTTCAAAATTGTGCTATTACCCTGCAAAAAAGACAGTCAGTGAAACAAAAAATTCCATAAACATATTTCCACACAAAGACAAGCATGCACAAGAAGAGGGGGAACACAATATCCGAAATAAGTGGAATACGACTCTTGTTCATTAAGAACTGTTTCAGAACCACCTATGGAATATAGGAAGTGACCTACTTAAGGTTTAACGTCAAATGACAACGAACAACCACAGAGCCCCAGCTTAAGAAAAGTCATAACACCTCATTTTCTGAGGAAGCAAGAAGAAGGAAGGAGATAATCTCATATAATATCCGTTGTGGTAAAAGAGATAAGAGCTTTCCAAGGTGGCTGAGTAATCAATTGTTCTCAGTCTTGAGACAGGGAGATAAATTTTCTATTGAGAATTGCTGCCTTTACATGAGAACTTTTTTTGACGGAAGGGCCAGGTGGTCCAAAGGAAATATTCCTGGCTCTAGAGAGTATAATCCATTTTTTATAAACTGACTAGCTGAGCACCTACTATGTGCTAGGTATCCTGCTAGGTGCCATGGGAGTTACAAAGATAAATAAAGGGCAAACTAGTTTTTGCTTTGAGATCCTACTTGGTGCCAAGCACTTAGGAATTCTATGAAGTGGATATTATGGTACCATTTTTACAGATAAGGAAATGGGGATTTGAGAGATTAAATAATATGCTCCTGTAACCAAACTGGAATTTGGGTCTGCTTGCCTGACGCACAGCAAAGCCAATCTACTGACACTGGCTTGTGATGAAGGAAAGTACAGTGTTTACTGCAGGTGTCAAGCAAGGAAAATGGGCAGCTAGTGCTCAAAGGACCAGAACTCCCTATGGCTTTCAGGAAAGGGTTTTTAAAGGCAACATTAGGGGTGGGGGTTACAGGGTGTCTGATCAACCTATGGACTTTCTTCTGATTGGTTGGTGGTAAGGTAACAGGGTGATGTTTCAGAAATCAATATCATCAGCCTTCTGGTCCCAAGTGGCTTGGAGACTACATGCTGTGATCAGCAGTTGCTAGCTGGTAGGAGTCTAGTTTCTATAAAAACAACTTAGGAATGTGCATTAGACATTATTATCTATGTGCTTCAAGGAGGAGCTAAAGGTCCTGTGACTCTGCTATATGGCTGATATATTGTTTAAATTGTTACCAGTTTCTGGCCCAATAGCTAGTTTTGTTACTACATGTTCACATTTTCCTAATCGTTAACTCTTGAGCCAGCCTTCTGAGACTCAGGGGAGGCTTGAAGCAGAGCCTTTTTATTTCAAGAGATGGGGGACAAAGGGTGAGGGCTTGTATACTAGAGAGGGTCCCTAAGGGACCTGCTTGGTTTTACTCCAAGTCACATAGCTAAGAGATGATAACCATAATATCCACTTTGCAGTGTTGTTCTTAAGTTCTAAGTACAAAGTAGAAGCTCACAACAAAAAACAAAACAAAACACCAAAAAAACAAAAAACAAAAACAAAAACTCCTGGGAGGGTTACCATTATGTATTTGGGAGTTATTTTATCTTAATATTTTTTTCAAACTCATCATTCAATTATCACCTGATTGTAACACATTCAACTTAGTGATGTTGTAGAATATTTTCCTATGTATTAGATTGGGCTATTAATAGCAATATGTAAGCTTCTTTGAGGTCTGAGACCATGACTTATACCAGCAAGGTAAACTTTCCCCGCTCCACCAAATGGCTTCTTGCTCACGGGACACTGCTTAGTGAAGATCTAGGTTTTACTCTTTTGCTGAGAGTTCATCATTCATTGGTTCCCACTAATGGCAGTAAAGATAAAAGATGAAGAACATGCAAAATCAGAATTTTACTTTGGTTCAGTATGCTTTAAAACAGTGACTTTCAAATTTCTGTCTGAAATCTACAGTAAGATATATATTTTTCATTGGAACTAACATTTGTGTGTACATGCACACACTCCAGTCAAAGGTTTTATGAAACAATACTTACCTTATGGGTTGCAGACTCTGATACTTTCTATCCTATTCTATTCTATTCTATTCTATTCTATTCTATTCTATTCGCCATTGCATTACACTCCATCCCATTAAAAATGCTGATCATAATCCACTAAGTTGATTTAATGACCCACTAAGGGGTCATGGCCCACATTTTGAAAAAAACATTTCTTTAAGACTTTTAAAATATGGGGCACTATATCAATTTTGGACCTCCTACAGTGCCTAGAATAGTACTAAAATAATACTGGGTAATCTGATGTGGTAGATTGCCAATTTGCTCCAATTCTTTACCCCCTGTGCCCGCATACCCATGTGCTTTGCTGTGTAACTTTCTAGTGTATACCTATTTTGATACTGGCCTGGGCCATGTTTATTGGCCTATTGTTTTAGCTGATAGGAGTTTAGTAAACATGATACAATCAGAAGCTTGAAAAATGCATGTACACTCTTGACCCTCTGTCTTGTTTATGAGAATATACCCAACTATCTTCTGGAGACACAAGGAAAGGATCAGAGATGTGATCAGAGCTGAAGATCCAGATGTCCCAGCTGAGGCTATTCTAGATTAGCTTACAGCCAGCCAACACTGATATGAGTGAGCCCAGGCAAGAAAAGCAGAGGCTTCTAGCCATCTAGTCAACCACTCCAGATGTGTGAGCAATAAACATTTATTGTTAAATGCCACTGAGGTTTTTTGGTTTGTTACACATTACTATTGTGGCAACAGATAACATACACCTGGCTGTGCCCAATCATATACTGTTTGGGTTTGAGTACATGAAGTATATCTATGTAACTTGAAGCCTAGTAGAGTCAATTAAAAACTCCCCCATCCTGCCTTACTTCCGTTATGGTCAAAATACTACTCACTTTTATCACCTCATTATAGGATAGTCCTTAGGATGTCTGGTTTCTTCAGGAGGTTGTTCACAAACATTCACAAAGTGTTCACATTTTGGCTTCTGGAGAGAGGGCCATTGATATTGAGAAGATCATAGAGGCATAATGTTAATGTACAATGACATACTTTATATAGTGTACAGAAATAATTTGGCTTGCTAGTGTTAGGAATTTGACAGTTATTTTAAGGCATAATAGCATGACAGACTACCCTTTCTTCTTCTTTTTTCTAATTTTCCAGTTCTTTGTTTTAGGACTTCTTTTCTAATTACTCATGTCTTATTTCCTTTAGCATTTTATTTGTGAATTGCCAGGACTAGACAGGATCGTTCCTTCTTTCCAGTCTGTCTAGTTCCAAGTACTGACTGCCATTATGTTAAATCTTCTGTGAATTCTTAAACTCTAAGGATATTGTAAGATGAACACAATATTATTTTGGCAGGGAATTGTTTATATGTGTGTGGGTAGGGGGTTTTACTTGCTCTTATATATCTCTTTAACATGAAAGAAACTTGGTTTAATTTGCTTCTATTTTATTCTCTTAGGAACCAGGAAAAACGCTCAAGAGAAAAAAGGATATTATTTCACTCTAAGAGCTCACAGTGATGGAAACTTGGAAATGAAAGCAAGTATGTGTAGGTACATAGGTCACAAATTACATAGGTCACAAATTTTAAAAGTCTGAATTACCTCTGGTTTATTCATCTAAAATGAAAATATTCTTCAGTCATCAAAATCATGTTTATGGCTTATTTGGGAAAATTTATCTTAAAACCAGATACAGATTTTGGAAGGAAACCAGGAACCTGGACAGTACAATTCACTTGGGGTCAAAGGCAAAATTGCTGGGAGATTGAAGTTTTCCTTATTGAGCCTGCAATATTGATTTGGGGAATATAAAAGAAATAACTGAAAATATCTTCCTAGAAGTAACTGTATATCATCAGCTTTAGATGAAAAACACTAGGAACTGGCTTCATTTGAAGGAACAGTTACTCAGCTCTCTAGAGTTTGCTTAAATGACTTCAAGGACCGAATTTATAGCTTATATCATGTGCTGTTAAATCCTTTTTTTTTTTTTTCCAGAATCAGTTCAAGATGGAATACTTATTAAATTTCTGCTTGTTCATTCATTTGGTGTGTGCTTATTGAGTGTTTACTATTTGCTAGGTTCTGCTAGGTCTTGGAAATACAGTGATGGACATGATGGTCCCTGTTTTCATGGAAGTTACAGTTTAGCAGAGAAGATAGTCATTGAACAAATAAGTGACATATATAGTGATTTAATTACAGTTGTGGTAAATGCAACAAGACACAAAGTAAAGTATACAATGGAAGTCATTAATATGAGAAGTGCCTTGTCTCAGGGGTTACAGATTATTTTCCTTAGGAAATGATATTTTATCTGCCATTAGTAGAATTAGTAGGCTTTAGCTCGCATGTACTGTAATAGTACATTTTAATCAAATCATTGAAATCAGATATTTATTTGAAGAACCAATTCTATGTGGTCAGGTGTCTAGGAGGCTTCTGTGAAATTTAATTTAGGAAATCGGTGCTACTGTATATTCATAGAAGCCAAGGGTTAACAGGCAAAGTGGCAGGAATGACTCAAAAGGTCATATCTATTCACTCAGTAAATATTTGCACAGGGGAAACAGACAAAAACCCCTGCCTTTCTGGAGCTTTCACTGTCGATGAATAGACAGTCACTAAACAAGGTAAATCAGCAACACACAGAACACGTTAAGATATTGATAACTGCAATGGTGGAAAAATAAGGCAGAAAGGGGGTTAGGGAGTGTTAGGGGTTGTAAACTTACCATAGCCTACTTAATGTCTTGGGAGAAAATGGTTTCTGGTTCGACTCACAGAACTGCTTCTTGGATTGCAGTTGGCTGCAATTTTGTACCATATTTGAAAGTTCACTGTCATTCTTCAGAGCTATCATCCTTAAGTTGTGTTATGTTTTACAAGGTAAATATTATTATCATTCCCATTTTACAAATATAATTTTTTTCACCACTGTGACTGGCAGACTTCAGGGACAGAAAGGTGCAGATGTAGACATTTTTGACTGCAGTAAAGCCAGAGCCTTATGTATTGTGTGAAGATCTTTGTGTGTGCAGAATTAAGACAGAAGTGGCTCTACCAATTCATTCGCCTGGAAAATGAATCCACCCCTTTGATCCACAGTTTTCTTATTTGTAAAATACAGTCTTGCCTCGGTATGCACGGGAGACTGGTTCCAGGACTCCCCGCAGACACCCACATCCGCAGATGCTCAAGTCTCTTATGTAAAACAGTGTAGTAAGTCCATCCTCCCTATCCGCAGGTTCAGCATCTGCGGATTCACCCAACCGCGGTCCGATTTTCTCAGATTTTCTTAAGTGTTCCCAGAATTTTTGATCCTTCTTTGGTTGAATCCTCAGATGCTGAACCTGTGGGTACGGAGGGCAGACTGTAAATGGCTTGGACCAGATCTCAAAACTCTTTTAAACCTGAAGACTTTCTTCTCTGAAAGGCTCTTTACCTTTTCTAGGGGGATTTTTACTTTGAGGAACGCCTACCCCAGCCTTTGAAAGCACCTGGTTATACAATACTTTGCCTGTGTTGGCTAGTGGTCTTTCTGTCGGGCAAGTAAAGAAGATATTGCGCTTGCATTAGCATCGTGTTAATAATAATAATAAACTTTTGTGCGTTCCTAGCTATGTGTCAGGTGCATTTCTTAGCCTTTTACCTACAATCCTCACGGCAATTTTACAAGGTGAATATTATTATCGTTCTCAGTTTACAAATGGCAAATTCAGAAAGATTAAGTAATTTGTCCCAGGTCACACAAGTTGTAAGAGGCTGAATTAGGAATCAAGTTCAGGCAATCTGTGTCAGTGGTCTGCAAACATTTTCTGAACACACATCCCATTAATAGAATAATTTTGAGGATTCATCCCAATATATGTTTATTTACTGATTTAAAATTGTATGTGTAGGAATCATAAAATGTCCATAAAATAGAAAATAAAAAGCTAAAATATTTAAAAATTAATTTTAAAGTTTTATTAACAATACAAAATTTTTTTGTTTTCATAAATGTGGTTGAATATACTTCATTATTTTTGGTTTGAATCATGGCCTACACTTTGTGATTCAGCTATACAAAGATCTGTTTCTAAGTTCTTAGCTGAAAAAGATGCCCCACAAATATACTTGGGTCCTTAATGGAAGAGGTACATCATTAGCTGCCCTTAATTATGATATGCATTTGTCAATCATCCACCCTTTATACAAAAGCTTTTTTATTGTTATTGTTTAAATTCTGCAAATAATTCCTATCATTCCTGATTTAATCAGCTGCTCTTGCATACTCCTTGGAAGGTGTTGCATTTTTGTATTTTAACAAATGAGATTAAAGCCAACTAATATATTACTTTGCGGGTGTTGAAACTGGTTACAATATTTTGTTTCCATTTTTTTCTTGGTACAGATAAGGGAGATTTTAGAGGGGACATCCTGCCTTAGCCTGGGTTTTCCAGAAAGCAGAACTTGAGTTTTATTTAGAACTGTACAATCCTAGGGAGCAGGAGGGAGGGACATGGAAAGGGAGAGCCTGTCAAGGACATATTATTGAGTTGTCCACAGAGCATGACTGATTTTCGATTTTGAGAGATGGTCTTCACAAAGGCTATATAAATGACTGCTTCTCAGGACAGTCCCTCCAGGGGAAGGAATGACGAAAATGTATTGTCTCGCTCCCATCCTCCATAAATTCACTTTGGATTGCGCTTGTGTGGGTTCAAAAATTCACTTTGGATTGTGCTTGTGTGGGTGCTCAGCCGGGTCCTGTGGCCTTTCACCCCTCCAAGTCAACAGGAAAAAACCTGAGGTGGGAGGCAAGAAAGAAGCATCCCAAACAGTTGGGTGCTGTCAACTGCTTGAAGGACGCCAGAGTCTATGCACCACACAGGGACTGGACAGGAGAGAGGTGGGGCAGAGAGTGTTGAAGTGATCAGAAAGGTGATTGATAGACACACAAATTATGTCTTTTGCAACAGAAACATATAACTACACACACATTTGCAAATAACTAGTTTCCAAATGCTCTCCCAAGCAAATTTTTTAAAAAGCATTTACTTTTTATTCATTGTTAAAACATCACCTGTATCTACCTAGGTACAGTAAACTGCAATGTGCTGCAATATATTGATATAAAAGAACAAGGGAAGGTTCCATTGTGAACCGCTAAGTGGGTGAACCCCTTTCTTCCTCCAGAATACTCCATGCTGTATTTGAGTGCCCAGCAAACAAGCTGACTCATGCACTGGGCTCAACCAGTATACTAAATATTGGCATAACAATTTCTTATTTTTTGACTGAAAATGAATAGAAAAAGATGTTCTGATATTTTCTAAAGAAGTTCTAATATTTCATTTTCTCAAAATAGTGGATCGCCTTGCCCCATACTTTGGAGGTCAGCAGTATAGGTCTTTTAAGACATGAAGGTCTCATAGTTTGTAGTCCAGAGTTTGAGAACATGGGCTTCATGGCCAGCAGGCTTGGGTCTCAATACTGCCCTTCCACCTAGTGCTTTTCGTAGCTTTGGTTGAGTTACTTAATCTCACTTTCCTCATCTGAAAATGGAAATGATAAAACCTATGTCTGTCTGACGCATAGCAAGTGCTTGGTGAGAGCAAGCTGCCCTTGTAGGAGTAGCAGCTGACAGTAACAGGGGGAGGGAGAACCAGCTGAGCAGCAGTCCGTGCTAGGATTGCTCCCGTCCTAAAGCAAAGTTTACAAGTTACCAGGAAATGAGTTTTCTGTCACCTCCTATTCTTCCAAGGTTCCTTCCTAGCAGCTATACTGTTCGGGAGGGGAGTGGGCCAGACCTCATGAAACTACATGATTTATTATCCATACTGACTTAGCCCAGGAGCTCTGGAATATGGAACTCAAATTCTTTTCCTTGCTGATCTCATTTTTTTTATCACAGAATTCCTTCTCAAGTTCCTTCTTGGATCTTCCCTCAAGATGCAGAAAACCAGAAATTATGTTACTCTGGTTGTAATTACTATTTGTTTTAGATGTTTATAATTTTTTCATTATAATAATTTCACCAGTATGGTGAAGGAAGCATGCTGCTTTCTGAGGCTACCTTTAACGGAGCAGGGGTTCACCTCTTTGGAGCTCTTTGGAGCTTCTCCTCCACTTGAACTGACATTGACTTCCCTTAATTTCATGGTCACAAGAATGAGGCATTTTCTACAGTTCCGTCTGTGGTTTCTCCCTAGTTTGTGTCTCTTTGATAAGGTCTCACTGACCTGTGTACTTTCAAATTAAGTCATTTTATTTCTACTAATCAGAGTTAACTTTACCCTCTCATAGCCAATGAATTTAACCCCTGGCTTTCCTTTTTAATTGATAGGGTCCATGCAACAGCAATAATTTCCAGAAGGAATGGAGAACTTCCCTATTATAATTGTTGTATGTAGTATAGCACAATTTAATATGTTGATTCCACTAATATAAGATAAAGTGATATTGAAATATATACGAGTTAACGCTTTCTAGTTCCATACGTACTTATCCAAAATGGCTTGAAATCCCAGTCCTTTGGGCAGATGAGCAAGCTAATACTGTAGAGTGGGGTTTGCATGAAAATGTGAGCAAAGAAGATACCGTTGAGTGTCCCCTGGTTAAGGGTTGGGACTAATAATTTCTCTATTGTCAGCTCCCTCCAGGCAGTAGCAGCTCTCAAAGCAATGGCAGCATCTCCACCTTTCTGTCTGCTTGCCTCATTTGGCTCTGACTTTTATCTGATACAGAAAGATGGAGAGATGATACTTTAACACCCTTCCATTCATACCAAAACTTCAAAAAGCAGCTCTCACAGGAAGCTTAAGTTAAAATTATTTGGAGCTCATCACTTATTTTCAGAAAGACCCTTTATGTTAGTGTAGGCCCCCTAATGCCACAGCCCTCTATTTTTTCTATTATAACTTTTGTCACTCTTTATTTGCATGTTTTATTACATGCTTTTGCTACCAGCCTGTAAATTCCTCTTCAGCTGTATGTCACCAAGGCCGGCACTGCACTGCACTGCAGTATGGATACAGCGATCTGGCTGTATGTAAACAGTACTTTCATGCATCTGTTGAATGTTCAGGAAGTTCTTTAGCCTTATTCCTCAAAAAATGCCCTCAAGCATATTTCTTTTGTTTAATAACTGTCTTTAATATCATGCATCTGTAAGAATGTGCAAAAATATATCTAGGTCCACACTGTAATTCTTTACTTCCTGGATTGCTGTTCCAAGAAACATAACAAGAAGGTGTATTGATTTTTATTTCTTCTGGGCTTCAGCCACACATATTTCCGTGTAGTTTTAGACATTAACGACTGGTATTATAGTTTGGGGAATTTTGATGACAGCTTTGGTCTACGTAGTTCATTCATCTCAGGACACATGTGTCCATCTGCCAGGCTGAGGTGCTTTTTCCAAGAAGCATTCTATGCACCGAGAGTATGTTTGGGTGTGGGGAGTTTGTGTGTCGGAGTCATGCTCCAAGCTGATGCCTCAGTAACAAAGAGGGCTGAGCAGAGCTCTAAGGCAGATGCAGCAGAAGTAATACACTCTCAGGTGCGGAGCAGTGACACTTTTGATGAAGGAAAACAAACTTCACACATGACTAGCAGCTTCTCCCTTGAGAAACCCATAACTTAGTAAGAGCCAAAGAAAAGGTTCAAGGTTGAGAGCCATGTTTGCCTATGTCTGTGGGAATGGACAGGGTATACTCCAGTGAGTAATCTTCCTGAATGTTCCACAGCATTTGAGCACTTGCTTTCTCTTTTCTGGCATGGAGCCAGTTGTTTGGCCTGATGTGGAAGCCACTGAGTGAATTTCTCTGAGGAGCTACATTTGGCTACACATGCACTGGAGGATTACAAGATGTAATTGCTTCCTCTTTTCTTCATTTTCCCTCTTTATTAACTAGTTCCCTTTTCCTCCATCTGGTGAAGAGAAGGCCACAGGAAATAAAACTACCCTTTCCCCTTTGGTCTTAATTTCTGTGTAGTAGAAGAACAATCTGACAAATATAACCAATCAGGCATTAAGGAAACCACTCGTTTAGTGGCTGGGGTCATATTTGATGCCATCTAGAGGTTAGAGCTAGAAAGTTTACCCAGCTTTCAAAATGGCATGATTTTATTTATTTTTATTATTATTATTATTTTTTATTTTTTGCAGTACGCGGGCCTCTCACTGTCGTGGCCTCTCCCGTTGCGGAGCACAGGCTCCGGACGCGCAGGCTCACGGGCCTAGCCGCTCCGTGGCATGTGGGATCTTCCCGGACCGGGGCACGAACCCGTGTCCCCTGCATTGGCAGGTGGACTCTCAACCACTGCGCCACTAGGGAAGCCCCAAAATGGCATGATTTTAAACTCAGAGGGA